GCCGCCGAGGGCGGGAGGGAGTGGTGCGGGCCTAGCCGGAGGGCGAGGAGGGGCCTGGATGGGCGGGAGGCGGTGCGGCTGCGAGCGGCCTTCGCGGGCCCGCGGGGCTCGGACCGCCTGGAGGCAGGGGCGGCGGCCGGGGGCTGCGGGCTTGGCCTCCGCCACCCTTCGCAGAGGCTTCTGGAACCGAGGCCTGGGCTTCGCCGTCGCACGGCACACGGCTGCGGCGTAACGCGGGGCCGAGGCCGAGGGTGATGGGCAGCTGGCCCCGCGAGCCTCGGCCACTGGGAAGGCGGGAGGCGGCGCGAGACTGGGGGCGGGCCGCGGGGCGCCGAGCTCCGATGCCGCCGAGCTCCGGTGCTGGGATGCCGCGTCGCTGGGATGCCCCTGCCCGCCTCCCTGCCTCGTCCCTCCTAACTTTGGCCCTTTTTTGGATACCGCAGTGGCATCCTTCTTACCTCTCCCCTTCTCCGGGCTCGAGATCATCCCTCTGGAGCCATGTCAGAAGGAGTGGATTTGATTGACATATATGCGGACGAAGAGTTCAACCAGGTGAGGGGGTCATCGGGAACTTTGGGGCTTCCCTCCTTGGTTTTGGGGATGACTTTCAGCAAACTGGCGGTGGTTCAGAGCGGTGCCAGGCCTTGGGGACTTGAGAAGACTCAGCAGCTCTAGCTGGTTGAAGGAGAAAAGTTCTTACAACATGAACTCTCCTCCCAACTAAGAAAAACTTCGCCACCAAAGTAGAAGTTTGATTGTTGAATGAGCACAAAATCGGAAGATGATACCTCACAGGCCTTCAGCTAAAGAGATCGCAGAGTAGAAAGAATCCTTTTGTACAGCTGAGTGGCTACAACTCAGATTGCTAGTTATATATCATCTTTATGGCAGGATATCAGAACTTGTGCTGATCTGCTTTCAGGAATCTGGGAGGTAGGGGTTTATGCTTTCTGGATAAAGGTTCTTTACTTTTCAAGAAGACCAAGGTTGCTTTGAAAGGACAGGGCAGGACTGGAGCCACTTTCAACTCAGCAAGGGAAGATAAAACCTCTCTTTGTCAATTTGTATTATTTCCTTACGCAAGTCTATAGAGTTTTCTCTTTTGCAGAGAACTTCAGGACTACTGCTGGCTATCCCGCTCCACATTAATTTGAGCCCCTAGGCTTAATTTTAACGTCTTTGATTTAAGAGCAAATAAAATTGAGGCTTAATTGAGTGGTGTATCAACCCAGGGAACTTACTCCCTCGGGAAGCCTAAGTTAGGTGTGAATCTTCTCAAAGACTCAGTTATGTTTGCTGTGATATTCTCAGGGACAACGTTGATACTTGTTCTTTGGGATTTTCTCAAAACTTTTCCGCTGCTAGAGAAAAATGTAATCTGCACTCCTCCATTGTTATGGGAGTTGTTTTGTACCATCAAATTGGAAGCAACCTACAGGTAGCTCTCCAAAGGGCTTTCAGAGACAGTAAATTGCATGAAGCACTTGTTAACAGAAGACCAAAGAATGACATCCTTGAGCTGTGGTGGAGAAGAGCACTGAACTTCAGGTGGATGGCCAAGAGACCGAACAGATATGTCTTGGAGAGGGTGCAACCAAAGTGCTCTTTGGCTTTGCCTCACATGCTTTGGACATGTTGCTAGGAGGTGCTGCTCCTTGGTGAAGGAGTTGGGAAGGTGGAAGGTCGGCCAAGGAGAGGAAGACCCTCAACCAGGTGGATTGATATGATGACTGCTGCAATGTGCTCTGGTGTGTCAGGAAGTGTGAGGATGGCACAGGACAGGATTAGGTTCACATCTTTTATTCATAGTGTCGCTGTGAGTCAGACTCAACGTTATGGTCCCTAACAACAACAACAAGTTGTATGCGAGGAGATTGCCTACCTTTCTCCCTTGGAGCAGTTGGTGGATTCGGACTGTGCATCTTTGGGTTGGCAGTGCAGTTCCTTACCACTTTGTTGTTAGTTAGATGTCATTGAGTCCTATGACTCAGAGACCCTATGAACAAAAGATCTGAAACCTCTTCTCTCCTGTGCCTCCTCACACTTCCTGACACTCAAGAGCCCACTGCAGTTACCATGTCAGTCTACCTGGTTGAGGGTCTTTCTCTCCTTCACTGACCCTCCACCCTTCCTAGTGTCATGTCCTTCTTCATGGACGAGCCCCTTCTAGCAACATACTCAAAGTATGTGAGGCAAAGTCTCATCATTCTTGCCTCTAAAGAGCACTCTGGCTGCATCCTTTCTAAGACATATCTGTTCGTTCTCATGGCTGTCACAACTTAGCCAATCTGTTTTACATCTTCTTTTCCGTTTTCCGTCATGACTGACTCTAGTCCTTAGAAGCCCATAGGTATTTTGGTGTAATAAATTTTGTTTCAAGGGGAAGTAATAAATTTTGTTTCAAGGGGAAGTATGTGGGAGGCACCAGTTAAAAAACCAGGTGTAGATTTGTGCACTTTCCCTAAATGGGTTTGTTGATCTCTTAATATTGAAGAACAGCATACAGAGATTTCCTCTTCCATGAAACAATCCTATTATGTTCAGTTTGGAAATCTTGAGGTTAGATCCCAAGAATGTTCCAAAGTCTCTGTTTAAAAACTTAATTCTGTTTTGCTTAGATTGCTTTCAGCACCATCTTGCTTAGGTAAGGTGATTCTTCCTATTGGTATTTTCTAATGGGTACATAGAAGAACCTGGAAAGAAAATAAAGAAATACAAGAGGAGGCTCCCTGCTAGGGCCTGACTGTGCTGTGAGGCAGCAAAAAGGATACATGCCATTTCAGATGAGGGGGATAGGAGTTAGTCTGAGGGCTTTTCCAATTGATGACATTTACATTCAACTTTTAAGGAGCTTTAAGTTTTCTAACATGAATTTAAAGTATCCACTGAAATCAAAAGAGTAAGGTAATAATCTCTTTGTACCCATTATGTGACGTTACTCATTGTACTTTTTCTCCACGTTGTAAAAATATGTGTACACTTGGCAGTTTCCACCTTCTCTACCTGTACAATTCAGTTATATTAATTGTTTTCATAGCACATTGTAGTGGTAACCATTATCCACCAGTTACATTTAACTACTTCCCCTTGTCTCCTCAGGTGACATCTCCACATGGCTGCTAATGAATGGTTTTAAATATGTTGGGAGAGGTGCTTTTAATATTAAAAAATCAACTGTGAATAGATGAGAAAGCATTAGTGTATTAATTTAGTTGTAAATCATTGTTTCTTGAACTTTTCCTGTTCCTCTGGATTTGTGAATGGATGATTGCTCTTTCTGGTAATCATTCCAACTTGTAAGCCATGGACTACAAGCCTTGTCCACTGGGCACTTCTTTATCATGGTACAAGTTGTGGGCTTTAACAATTTGTTCTCTGATCTCTTTTGTTTCCTTTGTAACTTTTTTACGATCCTAAGACCTGTGATGGTATGTGGAGAGCTCAGTAGAGATTTATTCCAGGCAGAGAATATGTGATACAAGGCAAATTGAATAAAATAAAGATTTTAAATGTTTTATATCTTATAGAAGGCAAGAGGAGAGTACTTTTCATAGAAGGCAAGAGGACTTTTCATCGTATAAAAGGGTTTTGGGGGTTTTTTGTTTGTTTTTTTTTTATTTACAAAACTGGTTTTCATGTAGCCTAAAAGCTGCTAAAGAAAATTCTTATTTGGCTAGAACTGTTAGGAGATTTAAACTGAAGGCAGCGTTGACTCTGATACTGTTGTAAGAATGGTATTGATTGAGCCCACGCTGGCCCATGCACATAAGATCCCTCTTGGCCCCTCAGTGTATTTTGCTCCCCAAGGAAAGGGAGCACCATCTTCAGTGGAACATTGTGCCGACACCTGGATCTCCCAGGGCACGTGCTTTGGAGAGCTGCTTCTGCTTCGTCTGTCTTACAGTGAGACACCTCAGATCCACAGCTGCTCTTTGGGCTGAGAGCTCTGGATTGGTGGTATAGAGCTGTCACTCTGCTGAGCGTGTTACTGTGTTTATTCCCATATTGAGGAAGGCTTTGCTAATATGCCCAGCTCCCTTAGTAACTTCAGCAAGTGTTTATTGAGCCTTTGAATTGTGGGGTTCGCAAGAAATATTAGACATATCGTTAACCACCAAAAGAACAAATAAATCTGACTTGGAAGAATGCCGCCAGGGTGCTTTTAGAGGCAAGAATGGCGAGGCTTCAACTCACATGATTTGGGTGGTTGTTAGGTGCAGTTGAGTCAGCTATGACTCATAACGATCTATACACAACAACACTGAACCCTGCTCTGTCCTGAGCCGAGCTCACTGACTCTGACATCTACCCCATTACATCAGTTACTGTGTCACTTGTCTCATCAGGGTCTTCCTCTGTTGTGCTGTCCCCCAACCCTTCCAAACATGATATCCTTCTCCGAAGATTGGTCTCTCCTGGCTACATGCCCAGAGTATATGAGACAGAGTTTCAAAATACTAGCCTCCAAGGAGCAGCTTGCTTTCACCCTCTCCAGGACAGACCTGTTAGAGTTCTTTAGACACACGGCTCAAAGGCATCAATTCTTTTTGTTCATTTTCCAGCTCTCTGATGCAGTAATCATGCATAATTTGGGTATATTCTCAATAGAGACTGGTCTCCAAAGAAGGACATAATGTTTAGAAAAGTAGAGGGTCAGCAAAGGAAAGACCCTCCACAGCTGGTTTGGGAGCATGGCCTCAAGCATAGCAGAGATTGTGAGGAGGCTGCCAGGGTTTTCTCCCTTGTACAGAGGATCACCATGAGCTGGGCCCACTGAACAGCTGTCACCACCTCTGGCAGTACTGTGCCAGGACTGCTGAGGTTTGAAAGCAAACAACCTGTCATCAAAGAGGTTCCAATCTGTTGGATGAGAACAGTAGGCAGTGAGAGTACAGAGTTAACTAGTGAAATGATAAGGCAAGAGAGTATAGAGTAAAGATTGTGTAAATGGTGATTATAAATATTCTAATGCAACAGTGATGTTGAAATAGGTTACTCTGAAAAAGATAAATCTTACACTAGTTACTTAGATATCATGAAGGAGGAGAAGAAAAGAGGACCTTTGAGCATAGCAGTGAAGATCTTGGCTGTGTTTAAACCTAATCTGTCACTGAATAAATCTCAGGCCCTTATCATAAGTTTTCCTGTCTTAACAGTTGAAGAGTAAAATGAATTTGTGGCCCTTGCAGATTGAAATCCAAACACAATTTGACAGCACCTTTCTTCAGTTGACCCCAGTAAGCCTGCCATGCTGATGAATTCTCACCACTTTGAACTGAAGCATTGTAACTCAGGGAAGCCATTTGAATCTTGTGAATTTTGTATTTGTTGAATCCTCTTAAATTTCTGAAGATAGTATTCCTTATACCAACTTTCCCAGGGTTGAGTCTCTCACTTTTTCTGAGGGACCTTGAAATAGATTGTCTGGACTTGGAATAAAGAGAATCTCCTTACATGTTTGGTATCTAAGCCATCCAAACCTGTTTGTTGCCAATGGCAATTTGTATATTGCCACTTTTATATACACATCTAAATCACAACTCCTGTGTAGA